TTGTCTCTGTAGTGAAAAACGTAACGTCCGACGCTGAAATTACTCAAATTAGTCTGCCTTGTATAGAAATGAATTTGACTTTTTGACTTATTTCTGCTTACTTTTCCAAAAATATGAATTATGTGATAAATAGAATCTTACACTCGTGTAAATTCCATATTACATTGGCACTCATGTAAGATATATGTTAATAATTGGAAAACCTTAAGGTTTTCTACGGTATTTTCATTTTTTAAGAAAAAGTAAAGTGTATTCTGACATGATATACTGTATTCAACATAATAAGCACCATTATTGGAGTATGATATCGCATTCATAACTTCACCATTTTTGTCAAATTACTTAAATAAAAGTGTAATGTTGATAATTTTGTGATGTTTAGAAGGTTCAATGATCACTTTAACTCTAGCACTTTACTTAATTTGACAACAAAATCCTTGCTTGTCTATTATAATTTAACAGGGTGAAATTAATTTAAGATAATGTAGATCTTTCAGGTGCACCCTATAGCCTTAGGCCTTTATATTAGGCCAAAATAAAATATAGTTGTGTTTCCCCTTTCCCTACCTCCCCTAATTTGTTACTGTAGACCCCAACAATTTTTTTTGAATTTTGATTTCTTAGGGAAATAAATTTTCAAATAATCTGTCATTTTCCAATATTTTCTTACTTTTTCCCACATTGATTTAAGAAGCAACAACATTACTAAATGGGTTATATGTAAATGTTTGATAAATGATGACAAGGTAATTTAACCATTATAGTGTACATGCATAAATTCATCCCTCAGTAAAACTTGATAAATAATAACAGGATAAGATATTATTTTCATTGTCAAAAAAACCCATTAAAATTAAAAAAAAAAAGATTTTCATACCAACCTACCCTATTTTTTTAAGGAGCCGAAATGGGAAACACAACTAGATTCTATTTTGGCCTTAGGAATAGGGCCTGTAACATTTTAAGTGTATGTTATTGTTTACTGATTCAAGTCCAGAGTCCAGCTTTTTTCAGAGACACAGTTCAGGAGCTCGAGTGTCACATAATTGCATAGGCAAACTGTTAAATTAATATTTCTTTGAAATGCATAATGTACCATATTGTTAATTTACATTAACTCCAGAATAATTTTCAAAGCAGCATACCTACATGTAGGTGGCAGTTTGGTGCTAGTCACAAGTTCATTACTTAAGTCCCATTACTTAAGTCATTGCTTTCTGTAGCTATTTTCAGAGGATGAAGTGGTTTTTTTCTCTTTTTGTTTGTGGTATTGAAAACTAAATAAAAGCTTGATCTTTATTTCTGTATTTTCTATTATTTTGAAATTTGTTGTATTTACAGTGCACAGGGATGTGGCTATGACACCCTCACATCCCTGTAGCGTATACGTATGATGACACTTTTGCTATCCAAGGGATTCCAACCTGGCAACATGTAATATTTCTCTGATCAATCTATGCATGTTAATACACAGCAGGTTAACTCATTCACCCCTTGAGACACATTTAAACTCTTCCAATTCAGAGGTTGGAATAGTTCATTATGAAATTTCAGGTGTGAATGAGTTAAAACCTTCCGCTGTAATCATGGACATTTTGAAAAGGAACAGAAAGAAAACTGTTCGAGATGTTATGAAAAATTAACTGCCTACTTTGTATTGAATATTGTTCAACTTCAAACGATACTAAAATACAAAACCTCCAAACTCAGATATATATACCCGGTATGGATCGCATATTAATCCCTTGGATAAAAATAATCTAAATATGTGCACATAAGATTGCATCCAAATTCATTCCACCCGAGTCAAAGACTCGTAAAAACAAGGACTACCGGTACATAATTACATTCTCCCTATTATAATTTATACTTGGAACATCTTAAAATCTTGTCATACGTAAACATACTGGAACAATATATGTGTACACCTAAACACAAAACACAAAGTTTTGCTCATGCATTATCAATCATCGTTCAACATGCTGCTGCACCCTGGCTGGTTGAGAACAATAGTCAAAGAATATATACAGTGGATTTAGTCAGTCACTCCAGAAATCTCTTTTAATGTTTGTCGCAGACTTGGCGATTTCTTGGATGTCTTTGTGCGTGTCAATTTCGCCTTCATTGTTAGTTTGTTTCGTTCCACACGGACCACTGCATAACCTCTCACTGTTAGAAACAAGTGAACAACATCCTCCAGAACACTTGAAACCACAGACTCGGACACACCTGATAGGAGAGCCTTAGTATAATGTTGGACCGTGAACGAATCTACAAATCTCTCTATAATAATGATCTGGACACTAGCTTGTCTGAATCCACAATGGAACGGGTCACCATCTCACACTCGCGCACCAGTAGATAAAAATTACTGGACGGTTTCTAAAGCCCACCGCGGTTCTTCATTGTGGTCATTTTTTGAAATTTTGTCAAGAATGTCTTTTCATCGGCGCCTTTACCCGTGCTGGCAAATGACTCGCTACACTTAACTTGTCTGTCTTACTACACCTCATATAACGTTTACAAAGAGCCCTAATAACGAAACCACAAATACAGTATAGCACTGTTTGGTCATTGTCCGATAGACTTTTCAACTGATGCTCAGATGTCCTTTGTATGAATAATGATTGCTCTTTACAGATTTCACCGATCAAGTAAAATTAACTGCGAAAAATTTCTAATGTCAGCAATATATCCAATGAATGATCTCTTTCTCTGAAAAGTTCACAGCACTCTTTATTCAAATTTTGGTCTATCTGCTTAATATGCAGTTTATCAAAGAGTTCTTCTCGATCACTCGAAGTACTCGTACTCAATTTTGAATTTACAAAGATGTCTGCAAATATGTCCTTGTAAAAATTGAATATACCACAACTTGTCCTAGCAATACACACTAAATTTGTTGTTTTGAGGTATGCCCACGGAAACCAGCAATATAGTCTTTAAAGACTTTTTGACACACAGGGTACACGTAACACACCTATTTAATTGATTTAGGATCCGGAATCGTTTTTGATCAAGTAGTGGATTTAACACGTTTTGGGGGTAATTCAACTCGATCAAAATCGTCGTCTGAAATATTCGACTCACTATATTCTGTAAACTCTCCGAGCAAGTGTTCTAAATCTATGTCATCATCCCAAGACAGAAAATCAGACGTTGACATGATGTGTGATTCAATGATGAGACAATTTTAAAAGCGCTGAAGTATCCGATCGTGAAATGCTATGAGCCGACTCCCTCGGAGTCCAAACCAAAATATAGCACATACAGGCGATAATATCTCCCGACACAACTACTGTTACAGCTAGACATGGTGGCAACGATCGCGATAACATTTCTCTTGTAATAAAATGAAGACCTACTTAATACACAGCCCAAACTTGGATAACCGCAATCAGGCGCGTAACAACCTATGTAGCAAAAAAGCCCGGGCTTACACATCATTTTTGACAAAATAAAAAATTTATAAACGCAACATAGACTATATGATATAACATATTAAAAAGCAATGACAGATGTTTTGTATCTGCTATAAAGACCGCCAACTAACATGCTTCGTTGCAATCAAAGTCTCTAACAAATGTAGAACTGAGGGTAGCATATTCATTCGGCATGGAAATCGCGCCAGTGAAACTCTAGTCTTGCTAATTATCGGTGTACCCAAACACTAACTCTAGTTTTCCCCGTGAAATAAAGTGTTTTTAAGTTTTTTACCGTTTTTATACATATAAAGGGAACAATATGGTTGGTAGCCTGGCTTCAATCATTTGACATGGTAACCGTGTCAGTGCAACTCTAGCTATGCAAATTATTGGTATACACATAGTGAAATAAACTGTTCCTATGATTTTTATCCCCTTTATTAATACAAAATACATATGGAATGGTCATAAACCATGGCTTTATATTTTACACATTGACCAGTATATCGGTTCTTATGTACATAATGTTAAACTATTCCTAGTGCTAGCTTGTGATACTAGTCTCATATCCCTGCGCAACCGGAGTCACAGTCGCGAGGAGAAACGTCACACTCTTACAACAACTATCCCAAAATCCACATGATTTTAGATTTTTCTTTTCCGTGGAATAATGTTACCGAACTCCATAATAGAATTGGCGTAGATGAGTACCAATCCCTACGTACCCAAAAAGAAGCAAAATATTTGTAAAATAATAGGGGAAAACGATATTTTCTTGCTTTAAAATGGCCATTAAAACTGACACCAGAACAAGGGAGAACGCATCTCATGTGTTCTAGAAAACAAAATTCTCCTGGTAGACCCCCCAGACCCCCACCAATGGGAGGGGGAAAACCCCCTCACATACCCATACATTTTCTCTCCCTTTTTTATCCGCTTGGACTTACAACTACAACTTATAACCTGCTGATATCTAATATTAGACATTTTTCGAATAAAAATAATAATGTTATGCTTAAAAAGTGATTAATCAATATCTGAAATTAGTTTATAAAACATAGGGTTATAATTCATTTTCTCATTTTAATATGTTTCATATATTTCTAAATGAATTTCAGATATTGATAAATTGTTACATTTTTTAATAGTAGGCCTAGTAAATGGAGATTTTTTTCCCCATTTGCCCTGTAATAGAAATTACATCATTAGCGGTCGTGCCATTCAGTAATATAAACTAAAGACCAAGAATATGAGGATACTAGAATAGAATAAATACCTAACAGTGGCGAATCCAGAGACCTGTCTGAGTTGATTTGAGGAAAATGGTGAAATAATATGATTTTTTAAGAAAATACTCAGGGTGGGGGGTTTCTTGAAGCTCCAAAAACCCTCTGGATCCGCCACTGCATAACACGATCTATTTAGAGACATAAATATATAACTAGGGTCATGGCTTTAAATATCTATAATGGAAGTTGATAGTGTGCTACCTAAATAACGTTATCGGTATACGACACATCGCTCAAAGGCGTGGTGTGTATCGGCGGATAACGTGCACATTAGTAAGGACCCAATGAAAACGAAAACAACATGGACATAGTCAAAATATAGACAAGCTCTACTTGTTCTGTGGTTTGTAATGAAAAAAATCGTACCTAATGTGTATGAGACTGTGAATTAACCAACCCTGATAGGCCAAACAAGTGCCGGAGTCATGACGTCCCGAGTTGTGAAATGGAAAAAGGTAATTTTTACGGTCACTGTGTGATTTGACTTCTAAAGTTCTGCTGTTTTGTCGGAATTGTAGCCCTATTTGGCTCATTGTATTTAAAAGAACGTTGTGTTATTTCATTAATTTCATCTTATACCCCATTTCAGTAATATAATGATAACTCACGATATCTGTAACCACAATGCAGGATTATTCGCCGGTTGTGCCCAACCTGTCTAATATATATATATGTAGCCCGAGTTTCCACCCTTTCCTTTGGCCCACAGCAGGGGTTCGTTACAAATGTCTGAAATACATGTACACATATGATATGTGTCATGTGACCCATATCGCTATATCATATGTGTATTTCTAACATTTGTAACAAACCCAGGCCTGTGTCTGACCCTGACACCAGACTTGGACATTTTGACAGATAACTGCCAGACATCTGTCAAAATGTCCAAGGCTGAGGTCAGGGCCAGAGGAAACTCGGTCTATGTCGAATACTATGTTAAACATTGTTGACAATGGCTAGATGGCATACAATGGCCTGAAAATAAGTGGGAGTGGCTATATTGTAGCATTTCATTGTTACATTTTCTGTAAACAGACAGTATGTCAGGTGATCATGACTTACCATCAGTATTCTGCCATGGATGCATTTTACTCTATCAATATGCATCAGAGGTTTCCCTATGAGTGTATCACTGATGCAAGACTAGAGTAAGTTTTTTTTTTAATTCCCTTTTGCACCATCCCCCCCCCCCCCCCCCCCCACACACACACACCTCTTTCTCAACACCATTCCATGTTCTTTGACTCTCCACCAAGCGTTCTCCTACCTTGAACGAGGAGGGTTAAAGACACCAGTTTGTAGTAGGATGAGGAATAGTGATAAAGATAGTGCCGTCCCTGGGGCTCGAACCTGCGACCCTTGGCTCTCCAGCCCAATTAATACTCTACTGCTGAGCTAAAGGGAAATTCTCTACAGCTGACGTGCTTGTAAGGCAACCTAATCAATGCACATCTATTACATACTCAACAAGATGTGGACCTGCAGCTGCATGTGTGACCAGGAAAAAAATGACATATCAAAACAGATGTACGTCAAAAACTGAACACAGGAGGATATATTAAATAAATACATAAGGTTAAAAAAACAAGTTTCTTAGCTAATAAGCTGATAATGAATCAACCATCTCAAATTTAGGGGCCATTTTTACGTAATGTTTAATTTTGCATTTGTGTCAACTTCTTAAACCTCCATAATTTTTTTTTTTTTTTAAACCTGCTGATTTTCGAATTTTAGAAGGTTCCTTGCCTTTCAAAATGGCTTCCAGCTCCGTGTTGGCGCTAAATGTTATCATATGGAGCACAATTTGCCTCCAAATGAACCTTGTTTAGGAAATTCTTTGTTTTACATACAATAGTAGGGTCATAATCACATGACCAAAAATATACAAAAAAAAAAAAAAAAAAAAAAAAAAAAAATATCCGCCCTACCTACCCTAGTTTTTTTGCAAATGCAACCCTAAACAGACTATATATTTTTTTTGGCCTTAAAGAGTGTCCGTCTAAAGTTGTAAAGCTTTCTCCTGTTACAAATTTGGCACTCGATGAATTATACCCAAGGAGAGTGGTTTATGGTCTTGTTTGTCTTCAGGGGCGAAGACTTTGTTACAAGAGGCCTACGGAGGAATGTAGCGGCACCTGACTTGGTCGATCCCTGGCGACCAGACTGTTCAATTGGTTAGAACGTCTGTCTAGAGATTGTTGGGTCCCGTGTTCGAACCCCGGCCTGGACGTGCATTTCTGTTTCTCCTGTTACACATATATGTCATTTCTTAGTTAGTGGTTAAGTGCATGTCTTGGTTTACATAACTGCGTTCTTACCCTTGTAGTTTTTAGCTCACCTGCCCGAAGGCAGTCTGGAGCATCCTTGGTCCAAGGTTAGGGGACTTAATTTTGTATAAATGGTGGGTGTGACCCCTCTAGGGGCAGAGGAGTGGGGCCAAATAGGGGAAATAGAGGTAAAACTTTTAAAATCCTTTTTCTACCATAGGGATAAAGGGATTTCATCCTTATTTGGTTTGGAGAATCCTTGGGCCAAGGGCACTCATTTTGTATAAATAGTGGGTGTGGCCCCTAGGGCAGAGGAGTGGGGTGCCGAGCTGGCCGAATAGGTGAAATAGAGGTAAAACCTTTGAAATCCTTCTCCTACAAGATTTTGTCCCCGTGTTGTCTCCATCAAGTTGTTTAGTAGTGCCTGTTACTATTAGGATGTATTCATTAAAACAAGATGACCACCAGGCCGCCATCTTGGATTTTGTCCTTTGAAGTTTGTTCTCGCTACATCTCCAAAAATACTTGATGGATCATTCTGAAATTTCATATACATGTACATACAGTACCTACCTAGGAGTGATATATCTTTACTTCATATCAAGTACTTTAAACATATATATCCAGGTGAGCGATACAGGCCCTCTGGGCCCCTTGTATTATGTAAAAGTACTTTGCCACAGTTGGTAATCTAGATATCGATCCGAGCCTCAAAGATATATGGAATGCAAATCTGTATAAAAAATTGTCAATGCACATAAAATAACTTTAACTCATTCACCCCAAAAGACACATTTGAGCCCTTCCAATTCAAAGGTTGGAAAAGTTCATTAAGAGATAGCAGGGGTGAATGAGATAGCAAAGTTTTATTTCATTATGTCTTACATTTATACGTCCTGATGCTATACATCACAACTGAAACAATATTCCAGATATATCTAAAAAAACCTCCAAAATTATTGTTTAACCCTTTCACCCCTATGTAACTTTAGTAGACTCTACCATGCATTGATCTGGATGAGTCCATTATGCTCTACAGTGGTGAAAGGATTAAAAAGAACCCATTTTTATTATCTTATTAAATCATGGAGGTAATATTACAGTGCATTAATGCATGAATAATGTGTGAATGTGTTAACGAAGACAGAGAATAAAAAATCATAAAGAGAAAAAAGTTTGAATAAAGTTAAAATTAATAAGGCTAAACATTTGGATTTCATGTCTGGTCATGATCATTGTATAATAAGTTTAGTGTATACATATACCGTAACAACATTGATTTCCTGCTATCAAAATAACATGCTGGTTAGCCTATTTATTCATTTGACATGCATGATATTTTCAAAGGATTGGGATATTATTCAGTAAGTAAAACTGTTTTATTTGAACAGTCAATTGCAACCGTTATAAGTTTGATGATTTATTACAATTTTATCTTTGACAGTCAATGAAGTTTTGAAGCAGAGGCACCAGGTCCGAAACATCAAATTTTTCTTCACAATATTTGAATTTCACACTTTAACTTCAGAGTTTTACATTTTTAAACTGGTCATTTATTTCATTTAAATACAAAGGTGATCATTTATAAGCATTCATTCATAATAAGTGAGAATGCATGTATGAGATCAATTGTCAGGGGTCAGTCTTTGGGGTATTTTTCAATGCTTTGTGAAGATCATGATTTTGCAGGGTTTAAGGAGGGGTATATATATTAACTTAAAAAATCTTGTGTTAAAATGCCCCATGAGGGAGATGTACGTACCAAACTGGGGTTTTATCTATTTTCTGCCATGCATATATTATCCTGAACAATTCAGGGTGATTGGCACCTACATGTATGCCTTTAGAAATACTGTATCTAGGTGTCAATCACCCTGAATAGTGAAGGGTAATAGCAGAAAATCTGTGAAAATAAATAAATCCCCAGTGTGGACGTACATCTCCCTAATCGGGTCATTTTAACACCAGATTACCATATATACTTAAAGAAAAAACATATATATATAATATATATGTTTTTTCTTTAAGTTCTAGACTTTAGTTAAAATTCATGAATATCATTATAGGTACTGATGGATTTCCTTGTTTCCTTGCCATTGTTTGATTAGTTTATCATATATAATTTGACATGCACAAGTGACACCTCTCTGTCTGACATTTAGCTTGTTTATTTTCGTGTATGTCAACAAAACATGTCAGTTCAATGGAACCAAATACGGAAATGGAACAGTGCACTCATGATCAATATAAAGCTTAATTGTAATAATAACCAGAATCAATTAAACAAACTCCCCATAGTATTGTCATTGAGCTAGACTAAATGATATCGCTCCGAAAATTTGACAACCTAAACTTGTCCACACTGTTGGAATTACTTCTTTGCCCCATATAAATATATGCATGTATAAATGAGTAAAAACAACATACAATATATATACCTGTACAGGTATGAAAAACGATTAAATATTTGTAGTTTTTGCATATATATATATGCATGTATATATTGATAAAGCAATATCCATCACTTATAATGTAATGAAAATTGTTGAATGAAAGACCACATAACCATTAATTTTGTTTATAATAATGTTTAACCTCTCTCTATATATAGCTACTCTAGCTCTCAAATTAATTCTCTATTGATTAAGAGAAGAACCCATTAATGCTTGTTTTCTTTTCAAAATTAACCAAATTTCAATGGATGACAATTATTATATCACTGGTTATAATGATGGAACCATAATTTATCCATATTTCTTATAATTAGCGGAACTCTTTTGAAATGAAGGAGATATTAAATGCAGTGTCTGTGTAATCCTTAAAAATTATTGTCTACTGTTCATGTGTCGATTCCCTCTTGTAAAATAAACAATTTTGTTACTGTTATATATTGTATACTTTCTCGTTTTTCTAAAACTAATTTTTTCTATTTGTTTTTCAGGAGTTTTCAACAAAGACATCCAATTCGATGCAGAACCAAAAACAAAAATTTAACAGACCAGCAGTGAGAAACTAGTGCTGGTTTCATCCTCTTTAGAACAATGGCAGACGGCGACGGAAAACTTCCCTCCGAGGAACAACAGGAGCAGGATATTGAGAAGGTGCCTGTGGTATTGAATTTCATAGATAACAGATATCACTGCAAGCTGTGTCGGAACCATACACAAAGCAGAAATGCATTTGAGGAGCATATTGCATCTCACTGCCTGCTCCGACCTTACGTCTGCTTCCAATGCAAAACGACATTCAGACTGAAGGCAGAGATGGACAAACATGTGCAGTTGAATCATAAGAACAAGAAAGTGCGGTGTGGTATGCAAGGAATGAAAAAAGTGGATGAACATATGAAACCTTTGCTGAAACAAGGGACAGTGACATTTGAAGGATTCCCAAGGAAAAAAATGGATGGAGGTTCTGTTAGTTCTGCCGTAGTGGGTTCCAAACGGAGGTTTTCAGTGAACAATGACAATAAAGCTGGGGATAAAAAGGAAACCACGGAAAAATCTACACAAGAATCTGAAAATCCGTCAAAATCTGCAGATTCTTCTGAAAGTGTCTTGCGTGAAGACGACAACGACAAAAGTAAGGTTGATAACGGAAGAGTAACTGGAGAGTCAGTTGCAGTTGATGGTTCAGAAGGGGAGGCAACTCAGGATAGGAAAACACAAGTCACCAGAGCAATCAGTAAAACAATTGATCAAAGTGTGAGTGATAAACGTGTGTCAAAAAATACAGACCGTGTTGGTGTGAGCTCGTTGAGTGTTGGTACAAGTGCAGGGGACATAGACAAAAATTCTACGCATCAAAGCGAAATGCAAGTAAATGTTTCAACTTGTGAACTTGGCGAGGGAACTTCTGCTTCTACGTCCAAGACTGATGATACATCTAACATTACTTCTGGGCAGAACCACAATGTACAATCACGCCAGCTTGAGCCTGGTTATCTCAGTCAGAAAAAAGCATCAAAAACTGCTAAGATGAACTGTGATGTCGAGGACAACATTTTGGACAGTGATGACAAATCCAGACTTGGTTCTACAGTTAGTGATACTCTACAGAGTTGCACTGGTCAAGAAGAAAGTACATCTGCTAAACCCAAACCTACCAGTATTTCTGAAGACAAAAACGAACAGAAAACTGTTGAATCGGAACAAGTCTCTGATAGACATTTTCAAATTAATTCTGAACAAGACGAAAGTGAATGTAATTCCAGCAATGTAATGAAGGATCCTGGATGTTCAGATTTGTCACGGAGCAGGTCTTCAGAAAATGTGTCTCTTATCAGTGCGAAAAGTAGCAATGTGTCTTCGGCACAGCTAAAATCCGGGTCATCGGCCTATGAAACTCAAGGAAGTGATGATGCTGACTCTTATGTATCTAGTTTAGTTTCCTCTATCAATTCAAAATGTACGGAGACTTCCAAAGGTAGAGAAAAGTCATCAGCGATAGGAAACACTCAAAACCCGGACTTGAATAAACAGCAGCAAATTGTTGATGAAAGTTTACCAGAAGAACTAATAGTGAAGTCACATTTACATCAGCAGATTACCAGGGTAACACCTCCTGAATCTAATATGGCAGCAAATGTTTTGACTGAAAGTGAAACTTCAATAAATCTCCTACCTCAACCTACTGATTTGGCAAAATTTCAGTCACCAGTGCAAAGTAAAACCCTGCAGATGGCTTCTGGTCCAAACACACATTCTAGCATTTCATCTGCAGAAAAAATATTGGTTATGCAACAATCAGGAGACAAGAGCTATGGAAAATATAAACCAGTGGAAGTTTGTAGTTCAAACTCCCCTCTAACGGACAGTTTACCTCAGATTTCTGATGCTGAAATATCTGTTCCCCTGAAAGAAACGTCAGCTTTTACAACAAAGAAAAGCAATTGTGTCCTACCAACGTCCAAAGAGGAGAATCTGCATACGCAGGAGGAAATCCCGGAAGTTTCTGTATTAAGGGGAGACAGCAATCAGGAAAAGGAGGGAACACATGAAGAGAAGGAATCTAACACACATTCCACGAATTACGTCCGAGATTTGAGTGAGATATCTTCAGATACAAAAATTGATGAACAAGTAAGGTCACCAGTGTCGGGTCCGCCGCGGGATAAAGGGCAAGAGCTCGCTGCTGCAACTAGTGAAGATGCTCGAGACGGACACGGGAGACAAGATGAAGCCAATAAAGATCTGCCACTGACACAGGAAGGACAACTCAATGCTGCAACTGACCAAAGTCTTCCACAGCGACAGGAAATCATTTCTGCAGCTGCACAGGATCACCTGATATTGCCCACTGCTGCAACTGACAAAGGTCATACAAGGGATAAGACAAGACATCTCACGACTACAGTTGATCAAATTTCTGAGCAAGATCAGCAGGATCAATCTACTGCAAAAACTTGTAAAGATTCTCCAACACAGTCTCCAGGAAATCAGCTTAATGCTGCAGCTGACAAAGGTCCTACAGGGGATAAGACAAGACATCTCACGACTACAGTTGATCAAATTTCTGAGCAAGATCAGCAGGACCAATCTACTGCAACAACTTGTAAAGAGACTCCACAGTCTCCAGGAAATCAGCTCAATGCTGCAACTGACAAAGGTCTTACAATGGATAAGACAAGACATCTCACGACTACAGTTGATCAAATTTCTGAGCAAGATCAGAAGGACCAATCTACTGCAACAACTTGTAAACATTCTCCACCACAGTCTCCAGGAAATCAGCTTAATGCTGCAGCTGACAAAGGTCTTACAATGGATAAGTCAAGACATCTCACGACTACAGTTGATCAAATTTCTGAGCAAGATCAGCAGGACCAATCTACTGCAACAACTTGTAAAGAGACTCCACAGTCTCCAGGAAATCAGCTCAATGCTGCAACTGACAAAGGTGGTGGATATGATCAGGGGCGATTACTCACCTCTACAGCTAATAATGGAACACCACAGGTTGAGGGGAGAACAGATATTTCTTCAGCAGATGAAGGTTCTCTACAGGAGCAGGGACAGGAAGTCACTTCTTCAATGGATAAAGATCCTCAACAGGAAAAAGAGACATCAGTTATTTCGGAAACTGACAAACATGCACCAATCAATCAATTGAGACAACCCATTGATGCAACTGATACAAATTATCCACCAGAACAACAGGAACAACACACTACTGCAAGTGATAAAGATTCCCTATTGACTAAGCAACACCAATCCATTTCTACAATTGATACGGATCTCACACAGAATCAGGTGATATTACCCACTGAAGCAGGTAACAAAAATCCTCTACATGAACAGGGGAGATCACTCACAGCTCAAACCGACAACGAGACTGTACTGTTGGAGGGGAGGCAACTTGATTCTTCAATCAATAAAGGTTCTCTGCAGAATCAGGGGAGACTACTGACTACTGCAGCTGGTACATGTCTTACACAGGATCAAGGGCCGCAAATCATCGCTGTAACTGATAAAGATCATCCACATGATCAGGGAAGCGTATTAGCTTCTACAATTGACAAAGATTCACCGCTCGCTGAGGATAGACAGCTTGGTGCTGCATCAGGCGGGGATTCTTCAGAGGAACAGGGGAGATTACCCACTACAACAGTTGACAGAAACTTAATTCCATTGGAAAGTTCTTCTCAGAAAGTAGAAAGGGATGACCAACCTTTCAACGAAGACATTGATTCTAGTGAAGAGAATATGATTGCAGCACCCTCAGAGAATGTGACTGAAGTGTCGGATGGTTCTGCTAGAGAATACCCTGACAAACAGGAACTAAAGGAAAAAGAGCCAACTAACCCATCATCAGTGGACAGAAACAGTGTTTTTACACAGCCATTGACATCTACGAAACCATCAGGGGCTAGTGACTCCCAGAGCATGAGCTCTGATGAGGATTTCCACTTCTCACAGGAAAGTTACAGTGAAATGCTCACAGTTAGTGATGAAAATGAATGGATAGTGAAATCCAACCTGTCTACATTGCACTACTCGGGAACGCATGCTGCCAATTATATAAGTTCAGACAGCAAGTCTTCTTCAGAACTCAAATCTGCTGCTGGCGAACGTCCTTCTGTAGGTAAACAGCTTCCAGATTCAAGTGATCAATCATCAACAACAGCAGTGCCTTCTACATTGAAGGAAAAAGGCAACAGTTCTCCAAAATTCAAAACCATGTTAGAAAGGAATGTATATCAGCAACGAACTACCACTGCCAAACATCCAGTTAGTAGACAGGGGACAAGTGATAATCCTCAGCCAGTCCAGAAAAAACAGGACACGCAAGAAAGGGACCCAGAACTTGAAAAACTCAAGCAAATCCAGGTCCAAGGACCTTCTGCCTTGGTGCAACAAAAACCACAAGATGGGAACCAGCCACAGGGCAGAGGTCTTTCTCCAGTCCCTCAACAAACCCAGGTACAGGTTGTGAACCAGCCACAGGGCAGAGGTCTTTCTCCAGTCCCTCAACAAACCCAGGGACAGGTTGTGAACCAGCCACAGGTCAGAGGTTTTTCTCCAGTCCCTCAACAAGCCCAGGTACAGATTGTGAACATGCCACAGGTCAGAGGTCCTTCTCCAGCCCCTCAACAAACCCAGGTACAGGTTGTGACCCAGCCACAGGTCAGAGGTCCTTCTCCAGTCCCTCAACAACAACCCCAGGTACAGGTTGTGAACGAGCCACAGGTCAGAGGTCTTTCTCCAGTCCCCCAATAAACCCAGGTACAGGTTGTGACCCAGCCACAGGTCAGAGGTCTTTCTCCAGTCCCTCAACAAACCCAGGTACAGATTGTGAACATGCCACAGGTCAGAGGTCCTTCTCCAGTCCCTCAACAAACCCAGGTACAGGTTGTGAACCAGCCACAGGTCAGAGGTCCTTTTCCAGTCCCTCAACAAACCCAGGTACAGGGTGTGAATCAGCCACAGGGCAGAGGTCCTTCTCCAGTCCCTCAACAACAAACCCAGGTACAGGGTGTGAACCAGCCACAGGGCAGAGGTCCTTCTCTAGGCCCTCAACAACAAAGACAAGTACAGGATGGCAATCCTACAGTGGTCAGGAGTCCTTCTCCTGTTTATGCTCAACAACAGACTCAAGCTGTGATAGATGTGAATGATTATGTTTTGCAGGAACATGAAAAAATCATGGCTGCAAGGATGAGTATATTTAATCTGACACAACCCCGAGAGCGATTAGGCATTACTTCAACTGCACCGAACAACAGTAGTGTGAGTAACTTGAATATGTTACAAACTAACAATCCTTCTCCACAATCGATGTCCTGCCAAGTTGTGGGAACACCCATGGCATCAAATCAGGTCCGCCAGAGTAGAGCGTCCCTACCGTCCCCAAGACAACCTGTCGGCCAGTTTATGGCCATTGTACCAGAGACAAGCATGGCCACAGGCATCAGAGTAGGACCTCTCAATACAATGCAACAAGTCAGAATACAGGGTAATACAAACCGTCAGCAGTCAGGATTACCTTTTCAGCTGTCGTCGTTTCCACAGATCCTCGGTGTTGCACCAGCAGGATTTCCCAACAGTAATCCAGCAATTCAGCCGAATATTTTACAAATGCAACAGCAGGGATTGTTACCACAACAAGCTAATCTGGTCCAAGGTGTTCCTCAGGGGCAAACAACTCTTGTTTCACAGCAAGTTCCTGGAATTATTGGAAGGATGCCAGGTGGAATAGTGATATCATCGCAGGCTCGTGGATTCATTCCACCTTATATCCTATCGCAGGATGGAACACTACGATCTACACAATTTGCAAACAGCACCATTGTTCAAACCCAGGCTCAGGTTGGGAGCCAGACACAGGTCAGGGGTCGTTCTCCTGTGTCGATGCAGCAACAAACCCAGACTCAGAGTGGGAACCAGAAACAGGTCAGAGGACCTTCTCCTGTGTCGCTGCAACAACAGACTCAGAGTGGAAGCCAGACACAGGTCAGAGGTCCTTCTCCTGTTTCGGTGCAGTCAAAAGAATCTGCTAAACCTGTAGGGAAAATATCTAAGCTGACATCTCTCAAAGCAAATATCAAAATTGCTGAACTGTTTCGAAAATCAAGGGGAGATAAGCAGTTACAGAATACAGAATCGCCACAAGTAGCTGAGCCTGCAGTAAGCGATACACAAACCAGTAGCATACAACCAGATACAGAAACTGCAACTGTAAAACCAGATACAGGAAATGTGACAGAGCAACCAGTATCAGCTAACGTTAAAAAGAAAGGTAAAGGAAATTTTCGGAAAGTTGGGCCTGATTACCTGTGTATTTCTTGCAAGATAGAAACACAGTCTGAAAAAGACTTCTGTCGCCATATTTGGACACATTTCCACATCGCACGGAACCTATGTACTGGATGTCGATCTTCTGCAGAAAACAGTTCAAAATGCCAGCTTGTAATGAGTGTGATCGACGGTCTCAAGTATGGGTGCTCTGTCGGCTCATCCGATGCTGAACCTATTCAGATCAAAACTGAACCAGATGACGATGACGACGTAGTCCTTGTGGAACACATCCCACCTCCAAAGAAAGCGAGACATTCCACCATGGCAATTAAACAGGAGGCCACTCAAATTGCTTCATCCAAAAACAGAGCAGATGTGTCTGTAACACGAGAAAGGGAAACAACAGTTCAGGAGATGGTTAGCTCGGACTGTACAACAGAATCTAGTCGACAAGAAACGACATCAGGTGTCTTTTCTGCTGAGGCTGAGCAAAGAGATGAGATTGCCCTAAAAGATTGTCAAAAGGAATCTTGGGGAACAAGGTCCTCGTTGGGCGACGAGACAGCTGGTACATCTATGAACACGGAGTCTGCAGCACAAGGGAAAAGTTTAGATGCTGAAGCTGAGGTGATGAAAGACAATTCCTCTACAGTAACCACAGACACTGTCAGCACACTTAACACTGTCAGCAACAAGGAAGATCGTGCGTCAGCAAGTAGACTTGTTGTTGGTGAGAGTGGTCGAAAATTAATATGTCAGTTTATTGCGAGGAAAAAAGACCAAGCAAAACAAACTAAGTCTAGTACGGCAGAGAGTGAAAACGTCCGTACCGATCAGTCTGTATCAACTGCAGAACTCATGGTTAGTGAGAGCGGTGGGAACAGGTCTATTCCAGGGGAACACCAGGGAAAACGAACCGAGTCAACGGAGAGTGAAAACACCAGTACCAATCAATCTGAAAACACCAGTACCACCAATCAATCTGAAAACACCAGTACCACTCAATCTGAAAACACCAGTACCATTCAATCTGAAAACACCAGTACCAATCAATCTGTTGCTCAGAGTGCCGAAGTTGATCTAAGTCCTATACCATTAGAAAGAACCACAGGTAACTTCTACGTTTGTGGCGGGTTTGATTTGTGTCAGTTCAGCTGCCTGACTATAGCCGACTTCTACAAGCACATGTCTTCTGTACACAAATCCGCTGTGTCGTTTTTGTGTGTTCACTGTGGATGTTTATGTCCTTCCCCTCAGCTGCTGATGCGCCATCTGAACTCGCATCTGAAAAAAACAGCCCTTTTCTTCTCTTGTTGCATCAGTGGCTGCAGATTTCAGACGAATCTTCTGCATGGCTACAGTTCTCATTTAGGGACGGTCCATTCGCGATGTACCACCTTAAGTTGCCCTTTCTGTGAGACATGTTTCACATCGGTCAACCTCTTAATTCAGCACATTCAGGAGAATACTTTAAAGTTTGTGAAGTGTCCACACTGTAAAGTCGCAGACACAGATGTCACGCTCATCAAACGGCATTTGGCGTCGACCCATCCCAGCGAATCTCGCCGCGTGATGGTAGCTTGTGAACTTGTATGTAAAGAAAGACTGAAAAACAATTTCCGGGAAAGAACCGCCACGAACGAATCTTCTACTACTCCGTCTGCAGGGAATGACACATATGTGATGGAGGTACCAAAGCAAGCCGATACGACTGTTCAAACATTTGAGCGACTGTCTGATACATCTGACGAAGAGGAGGTTATAAGGGCAAATGAGAATCAACAACCAGCCGAGGCACCGGACAATGCAGTAAGCTCAAGACCATCGTTGTCACTGAAAATCCAAGCAACAGTGGTACGTGAGATTTCGGCGTGTGATTCTACCGTGTCGCCAACACCTTCTCCGTCGCACTTGGACGGTTCAGCTACCGAGGAGGATCCACATTCGTCTGATGTGGACAGCACTGTATCCACCAGACTGCAAAAATGTTACCAGTGTTCCTTCACAAGCAAAGGGAAGATTTCTATGGTGCGCCATGAGAAAATTCACACCATGAAATGTCGAGACGAAAAAGTGTTTGCGTGCCCTCTTTGTCCAGACGGCATGGCAACGATACAGTTGTTCCGTGATCATATGAAGAATCATATTGGGAATCATAGTGTGACTATGTACTACTGTGACCTCTGTCAGATCGCCGCGAACAAACGGGAGACGATTCTAACCCATGGCAGGCAGCTCCATAGTGAATTTAATGAAACCACTGACATCTCGACGCGCGATATGAAGTTTTCATTCCAGGGTTTTGTGTGTGACAAATGTGATTATTGTACAACAAGCCAGACAGTTTACGATAAACATGTCGAAACACACGTGGAGGAGAATCCCCCGACGCGAAAAATGTCGGTGGATCAAAAGTGTCCGTACTGCATCTACCATACACAAGATGAAGTTACGTATGATCTACATATCACAAACATGCACCAGAAACAGCTAAATAAGGAAAAAAGGAATCGGAAATCTTCATTGGAGTGTGACAATTCAAAACGTTTGAAATCTGTGCCTAATGAATCAGAATCTGCAAATCCATCCAGTCCATCAATCAATTCTTTTGAAAACCTTCCGGACAAAGCAAGCGTATCCAGCACAGCAACGGAGCAATCACATGATCATAATGACCAATCAGAAACGTCGACATCCATGATGTCTCAGGAAAATGTATCTCGGTCACAATCCAAATCAAACGATTTGTATCAAAACCAGGTGGCCAAGAGATATCGCTGCTGTGAATGTCCCAAAGGTTTCTCCTCGACGGATCAGTTAAAAATACACCTGGAATTTCATGCCAATATAACAAAGCAAAACTACGAAATAAAGTTGTTGAGGTGTTCTCACTGTGATTACTCCACCACAGAGAGGCTGTGGCTAGAACGACACAACCGCCAACAACACAAGAACAGCTCAAAGTCAACGAAGCAGCGAAGGGAGGTAATCCATGTAGGCCAGGGAACGACGAAGACATCGAACACATCTCGGAAGGTTATACAACCAGCAGTGGACAAAAAGGCGTTCTTGATTCCTGTACAATCAACTTTCTCTCAACCAGTCGCGTGCTGCGAGTGCGACTTCTCTACAAGAGACCGTGCCAGTTTAGTTATCCATGTCACCAATCATGCAACGCTGTACCCACGTTTTGAGGACTCTACTGATTCAGCAGAGGAGAAAGAGAAAGAAGACTCTGTAACTGGCCAGGAGGAAAGGATTGACGATACAAATGATGTTGATAAAAACAGCAAGAAATCGGACAGCAAGAACTTGTCACTAGATACTCCTTTCCGCTCGCAATCTGGGAATCTTGTTTCTGAGGATTCTGAACAGGAAGTGATTGATTTGTTGACTGATGAAAGTACTGATGAGTATGAAAAAGACGAAAAAGACGAATCGCAGACGGATGGGGAACAGCAGTTTGTTGGATCAAACAGAAACACATCTCAGAAAACCACTATGTCCGCAACTAAATTGAGCAGCAGATCTGACAAAGTTGCCACATCAGCACACAAATCAATAAGCGACTCGGACGAAGTCACAGGAAGTACGTCTCAGGAAGAGATGGCTGAGGCAGCTACACTTCGCCCACAAAGAAAGAGTCAAGACTGTGACAGCCTGTTCAGGCTTGGAGGCGACCTGTTACATGTCAAACTGAAGCCTTGCTTCTCACAAGAAAAGGATAACATGTTTCTGTGCGAACTTTGCAGCAGCCACGGCCCGTCTCGTGACAAATACGAATTTCACAAACATTTGCTGACGCACATGAACCTTTGGTTTTACATGTGTGGCTACTGTGACTTTCATTGTTTTGAGCAGTCGGCCATGACAAGTCACTCGACTAAACTTCACAGGAACCGTCCCTACCAAATCTTGAAAATGGAAGTGGAGGATTTCAGAAATAGGATCAATGAGATAATTCACTGCAGAAAGGCGGGAATATCTATGTCATCGCTGATCAACACCACCCCTCAAGAGTCTCGTAAGAGTAGGGCGGAGGAAGACATCAAGGACGCAAGAGGACATACCAGTAACTCAAAAGGGGACCCAGACAGCGCTAGCAAGTCCCAACCACAAAATACATCATGTGTGGAAAGGTCAAAGGGAGTTGGCAAGAGCTCACCTGAAAAAGACTCGGTGCTTGGGTCAGAGAAAAGTTTGAATTCACAGAAAACATCTGGTATTGGAAAAGTCACTACTGTTGGTGCATTTCACAAGTGTTCAGTATGTGGTTTTAAGTCTAAGGACAGGAATGCTGTTGTCCGACACTTGGGAGTTCATTCTCAGGTCAACAAAGACCATTGTCAACATTGTCCGTTTCAATCGTCCGTCGCTGGAGATCTTAGTCTGCACATGGCCAAAAGGCATCCGGAAACATGCAAGGAAAAACCAAGCAAGACTCCATGTTCCCGCGAACTCAAAGAATTGCTGGATGACCAGAATTCAAAATCAGCACGGAAAGATTTATCTCCAAATCAGGGTGAAAACAGAACCAGTTCAATAAGTAATCAAAGCACAGGAAAAATCAGTTTGTCTGCCTCGGAAAAATCAACTGTCAGTAGGACCAGTCCAAATGTTGGCAAGAAAAGCTTGTCTGTCCTCAAGACTCCTAAGGTCAGTAGAAGTTTGTCTCCCCTACAACAGAAGGGTGCTGTGAAAACCATTTTCAGACATAATGTGAAGAAGAGAACAGGTTTATACAAGTGTAACTTTTGTCGTTATTGCTCAAAATGGGGAAGCAATATGGGCCGTCACATGCAGTGTAGGCACAATGTGAAGATCATTTCTAAGGAGACTGCAGCGACTAACTGCAACAAAAGGAAAGAAGATGCTGAGAGCAACGATGTGGAGAGTAGCAATGCGGAAAGTGATGACGCGGAGAGTAGTGATGCAGAAAGTGATGATGCGGAAATTAACGATGCAGAAAGTGATGATGTGGAGAGTAGCGATGCAGAAAGTGATGATGTGGAGAGTGGCGATGTGGAGAATAGCGATGTGGAGAATAGCGATGCCAAAAGTGATGAAACAGAGATTGATGATGCAGAGAGTGATGATAAGGAAAGTGATAACACTCAGGATGGTAAAAAGGGTCAACGGAAGCCGGTACTCTACACTTGTGAGGTCAAGGTCAATGCTGAAGGACATTTCCAGTGCCCTCTGTGTACCGCGATCCTCCAGTTTAAATCCAACATGTACCGACATGCCTTAGAGGTCCACAAGGCTGACATCAAGGAAGGCTATACCTGCCTGTACTGTAAGAAGGACTTCAGGCTGAGAACGCCTTTTCTTAATCATTTCAAAACAGAAAAATGTGACAAACCCTGGTTTCTGTGTACAGCAAGGTTTTGCACAGTTGTTTGCCTCGATCGACAGAAGTCTATAAACCACATGCAGAAAGAACATTCGTCAAAGAAAAAACCTATAGTATTAAATACAAGGAAAATGAAACTAGAGAAATGTCTGATCAAAGGGAACCTGTTGCATCGTGTAAATCGACAAGGAAGACCGTCCGGCAAAAAGGACGAAAAAGCAACCAGTAAAAAGGACGAAAAATTACCAAGTAAAAAGGTCGAAACAGCAACTAGTAAAAAGGAGGAAAAATCACCAAATAAAAAGTATGAAAAACCACTCAGTAAAAAGGACAAAAGAGCACCCAGCAATTTGTGTTACACAAAGTCACCGGAGATGAGAGATGTGCACTGCGGAAGTTGCGGCCAGGAAAGGAACGGCTGTTTTGCCTACCAGCTTCACTGTAATAACAAACATTCGGCACAGGCTTTCTGCTGCTTCTTCTGCAAAAAGTTCGCAACAATATCTGTGCGTCACATGATGTTCCACACGATGGACGTCCACAAGGAGAAGGTTCTCAAGTTTTATCACATACCAAAGAAGGAGGAGCATACCAAAATTGCATACAAGTTCAAGGCCGAATTTAAAGGAAAGAAAGCCAAATCAAACAAAATTGTTATATTAATTAATCGTTTCTTTGACAGTACGAGAAAAGTGAAATCTCCAGAGAAACCGAAAAATGCAACAGCCTCACCTAAACAGAAAAAGACTTCCGGTTTTGAGAAACCAAAGAAGAAACAAACGTCTTCAGTTTCGAGTTACGCGAGTGAGGATAAAGGCAATTACAAGTGTATGGCGGTCAAGGGCTGCGGTTTTGCGTCCCCCAAGTACGATACCATTCAGATACACATTCAAAGACACTTAAACTATAAACCGTACAAATGTGAAATATGTGGTCTGCAGTTTTATATGGAGCAGTATGCTAAAATGCACCACACCAAGGTCCACTATTACGAAAAGGCTAGCATCACTGTTAAACGCACAGCTGCCACTGACGAGAAAATAACCAGGCTCATAAGGAAAGGCGAACCCCACTACTTTGAAAATAAGGAATTTACTGTAGACGACGCCAAGAAATTGAGGAATGGGCCAAAGCGTCTTTACAAAGAACTGCGAGGGAAAACGACGTCCTGGAGGTGTGTTGAATGTAAATTTGAGACAAAGTCCAGGAAAATAATTACCGACCACGTCTACAAACATTTACCTAAGATCTACAAGTGTCCTTTCTGTAAACACACTGGCTATCCCAGGTAAGTGAAATATTAAGCATGTGTACGTATTTGACCACGAAAAAGCCCCCTCCCATTATAAGCGAAAGTTTGGCCGTTTCATTCCCCTTGTTTACAAGCACAAAGCATATGTCTGCCATCTTTGATTTCCCCAACTTTGAATTTTGAATGTTACATATTTTGACCACAATGTAAGTGTTTAAGTACCAAACATTTTTCGGATATTTAACAGAGTGGGAGATTAAGTGGTCAGCAATCGATTAATTCACTAAAGAGTCGGAATTGAATTATTCAAAAAGTGCATAATGATGTTGTAAACTGCCATGTTCGGTTGAAGTTGCCTGGCAATGAAATTGCTGTGCAATGTTTTGTGAACAATTATTTTTGTGCACAAATATTTTTATATGCCCGTCAAATTTGACGGGAGTATTATGTCATGGGTCGACCGGCCGGCGTAAACTTTTGTTTGTCCGGCAATCTTCTCCTACATTTTTCGACCGATCTCTTTGAAACTTAAAATCAAACCCTAAAAATCCTGCTTTCAACCAAGTATTCAACCCCAAATACCAAAACATATTTACGCAAAATCAAAAACTTCTGCCAACATTTGGTATCCGAATTTTGAATTTCCTGCAAGAACTCAACATAAAATTGACGGACATAGCTGAATTTAACATATCTGATGTTCCTCCGTGGACCATTCAAACCCCCGATTTTAACTTTACATTACATGAGCGAGGGAAATCAAGTGTTATGCCCGAAGAACACAAATCCTCCTTTCGGGAATGCATTTCGAATTACCCTTCTCATACACAACTTTACACCGATGGCTCCAAAGAAGGTGAGAAAGTGGCAGCAGCCTGCTGTACTGCCAATACTTGCACTTCAGTCCGACTACCAGACGGCGCCTCCATCTTTTCTGCTGAAGCATGCGCCATTGGTTTGGCCCTCGACCATATCGATGAACACCGCATTAAAAAGGCAATTATTTGTTCAGACTCTCTATCTGTCCTACAGAGTTTACAGTTACGAGATCCTAAAAACACAATCGTACAAAACCTTGCTC